TACTGGGAATTGGAAGAACAGATCGAACAGAACAAAGACGGACGTTTGATTCAAGTTTACCAAAATCAAAAAAAGCCTTCCCAAGTGCTTTAGCCGGGAGAACAGCTGGCTAGTAACCTGTCCCTCTCCAGGACAAGGAACGATTGTTGGATAAAAAGCATACTGACTATCAAGCGATCCAAAATTGATCGAAACAACTAGTACAGTGAAAAAAATCACCGGATGTATAGAGGAAAAGTATAAAAAAGAATTAACAGCTTCTCCAAGGAATACCGAACCTCAAAAATCTGTGAGTCGTATTGATATTAACTACGTTGCCAATTTTGGGTAACTCGGTGGCATCTTTTGCAACGGCTCGCAGTGGTAGAAGCAGTTCAAATCCATTCTTAAAGTAGAATCCACCACGTGATTCTGGATTCAGCGAATCGGTTACCGCAACGTCAACCTTTAAAAAAAAACACCAAATAACTTGAAGTAATGAAAAAAAAAACTTAAAAAATATGATAACTGATAGGTTCACATATGTTTCTTCGATAACAAAAAAAAAAGGCGCGACAGCTAAGCCAATTATTAAGAAAATTACAACTGGTTGAATTAAAAGCTAGTTCTGCCTGTTTAAAGAAAAAAAGTTCCCTCCTGAAACCGATTTCAGCCAAAACCGGAAATACTTTACAGACCGAATGTTTCCCAACAAGCCAAACTGTTTTATAACAATCAGCTAAAATTTCACCCTTATTTGTCCAAGTTTTACGGTTTCAACGAAAAATTTACACGCATATAAGACAAATCTCTATTATTCAAATTACGCAACAGAATCCCAAAAAACATCAATGCTTTTTCAGACCATTATGAAAACTTCTTCCAAGAGGTTTCAGAGAGGGCGCAGGGTTCATGAGAATCAGGATAACCTAAAATCTTACGAGGTATCCCTTGCACACCGGCTGAATGTAGAGGAAGAAAAATAAACTTTTGGGCTATTTTTCATTTTTTTTTTTTTTTTATTATGTTTGTATTCTTGAAGAAACGATACGGCGCTCACACCCGGTTTCATGAGCAGATTCTTGAAGCTGTCCAATTCATCCTCCACCAACTCCACAGTGTGATCCGGCACATCGAATTTCACTATTCTTCTGCCAAAATCGATCCTAATAACAGATTTTTTGAATAAATTTTGGAGGAAACCATTATTTCATAGATGACTGCTTTTTTCTCACATTTTCGGCACAAAACTTCCCGAAACGATAAGTACAAATAATCTCACACTATCTGCCTAAATGACAGATAAAAATCCTTAATCCTTGGTGCCACTTCTTTTGTGTTTTAAGTCTCAGGAGCAGAACACACTTTTCACCAGCTGATGCATTTCGGCCACAATAACTACAGAAAGGCTATCAGATGAGTAGATGTCGCAAAAATTACAGCGGAAATCGGTAAAAAAACCTGCATGTACAAAACTGGAACAATACTTTTGCCCTGGATTTTTGCGTCTACAAATTCCAATTCTGGCCAAAAGCCAAAAGTTTATCAACCAAATTCCTAATTTTTTTGGCATCAACAACTGGTCACTACTATGGCCAATTATAGCCGCTTCAACCCCTGTATATTCGCACCTAGTGACCTTACTTGTTCATATTTTTAACGACCGAAGCCTTATCCCCACTAGTGGTCTAACGCTCATTGCTTTGCCTATCCTGTCCGTTTTTCTAGAAAAAAGTGTCAGCATGCACAACATACACATTTCTTTGGTTTTTTTAGCTCATTTAGTGGCCCTCTTAACCTGCTAGACGAGTGGCTATCGCAAACGGCTTTAAAAAGCACTGATTTGCGTATCTAGAAGTGTTAGCAGAGAGATTAATAAAAATATAATTTTAAGCTAGTAAAGAATAGTAATTAAGAACTGAATTTTAAGCTCACAGTAATCGAAGAGTGGGAAGAATTCCACACAGGAAACCTCATCGTAGTCGAAGGGGGAGAAAGGGAAAGAGGGGGAGTGGAAAAATTCAAGGGAAATTCCTGATATCCAATATAAACCGAGGACAGTTCGAAACGCCTAAAAGGTTGTGCCAAACATCCCTGTCGAGTGAACTGATAATTTTTTAAGGGATCGAAAAAAACGTCCGAATATGGAGAAGGCTAATTATCCGGTGATACAGCACTGATCAAAGGAACTGGAAAAGCTGCCAGCTGCATAACTGAAGGACCGGATTGTAAACTACAGCTGTCTGGAGCATTCCAAATAGGGATGTTATGAAAAAAATAAGTGGTCAGTGCACCGACTACTGGTGTGAAGATGCGTTTTTTGCATAGTTCCCCGCAGATTTTTGTCGCCAACGGCACTGTCTTTTTTTCCCGTCAGATGCTTCTAGCTAAAAGAATCGACACTTACCGCCAGAGACTGTCAGGAAACATCCCCTTAAAATTACAGCCTTTAAGCTCTTCAGGTTCCCGAGTTAGCAACTTACCCAAAAAAAACTTTCACGGGCCCGTACGTTGGAACGACGAGGATGGGAGCCCGCAGGTGTATATAGATTAAGTTCCCAAAGTTTCAGCTCTGCAGCTTTCGTAGGTCTCGAGATGAAAAACCGGTACAGACGAACACCCAGACACATAAACATACACAGACAACTCCTCGTCAATATGTGTTTTCTGCATTGCATAGATGCAAAAAAAGCATAAGAAACAAGCACTTACAGGCGATTGTGATACGCAAACAAAGCTGCTGGATATGAGCAAAGTGCGAAGACAGCCGCAGCTTCGAGCGCATACTTCTCCCATTTACGCATTACCGAACCGGAAACTCGCTGGGACATTCCGATCTAGAAAAAGCCTGTAAAAAAATAAATGGCAACGCGCACCAGACTAGCCAGTGCGATCATGCGTTTTGTGCAGTTCAGCCCATCGAACGATTGCCTATTAATGATTTTCGCTGCTTTGTACTTTTGTCTATGCAAAAATAGTTCAAACATTGGAAAACAGTTAAAAATTTCACGCACCAGCGTATGAATCCGAATTCGTAACCTTGAAGGATGAATATCTTTTCGTGATTCCCGAGTTAATAGTTTACCCGCCAAAATTTTCACGAGGCCGTAGGTGATACTCAAGGGAATTTGAATAGGCAAGGTTCCTAGTTTTTGTGGTTCCCGAGTTGAAAATTGCAGACAAGTTGCTGCGGACACACACACGCACACACATACACACACAGACAACCCCGTGACAATATGCGTTTTGTACTGCTGTTACACAACACAAAACGCATAAAAATGCACTGAAATAATTTAAAGGTGAAACCGTCTTTTCTACGTATCTTCGATCAACGGTTCCTGAAATTTTAACGTCCCGTATAGATTCACAACAGTGCCATGAATCGAGGATAAGGCGAATTAAGAAGTATTTAAAGCCTCAAATGTTTAACGATAAAAATCCCACAACTTGCCTTAGGCCCTCTACGATCCATTACAAAAATCAATTTTACATTACACATCATATACATAATGGATTGAAGGCTGTACTGATGATTCTCGCACCCACCGACACGGTGCGTTTTACCAGTGTTTACAGCTAAGGGACGAAACACAGACCGCTCCCCGAAAGGATAACAAAAAAATACAAAGGGGGGGGGGGGTTTGAATAATCTTTCGGTTCAGTTTCTGCCTCCCCCTCCCCTTCTCCCGTGCAACCGGTGAGTACCATAGCGTGGAAAACAAATGCATCCCACCACATTAGCAGAAGAAAGATCTAGAAATACGTATGAAACGCCGGTAGCAGATAGTTCCAGCGTTGATACTTTTGTACATTCATCCCTCCAGCACCCTCTCCCACCCATCTTGCACTATTTCAGCCGCCTAAACACCCAAAAGATCTTACGGAAATAAACGCAGGCTGCTGTCCAAGCCGAGTTAGTAAAATTCGGCCTGGTCAGGTTGAAAAGCGAATAGCGTTAGTTGAGCAACTACTAAAACTCGGCTCGACACGGCTCGGCTCGGCTGGTGTCTTACACCATCAGCCAAAAGTTTTTTGTATGGACGACGGGTAGGGTTGCCCGTGCAGCCCTATGCTATGGGTGCGGTGAGCTTGCTTATAAATTAACGTAATTTGATATTTAAATCAAAATATATCCGCCGAACTATCCGCTTGCTTGTCCTTATCGTTGTCTCCGTCTCCACTTTCTTAAAAGAGTCGAAAAAAAATGACTAATCCGAGGATGGGAAAAGCCGGAAAGCTGAAGGTTTAGGGTACTGTTCCCCCACCCATGTACGAGCAAAAACTTAGCAGCTGTGTAATTGGGCTGGACGGATGGATCCCTTGCACTGGGAAAATTTGATGCTTAGGAAGAAGTAGGTGAGGAAGAGGATGAGTTCAGGAGGAACATACGTAAGAGCTTAGGAAGAAGAAATTGATACTTAGGAAGAGAATGATCATAGGTGTGGTAGAGCATGAGTTTAGGAGGAACGTAGATAAGGGAAGGAAATTTGAAGAGCATTAGAATAGGTGGGAGGGAATGGAAGAAATTGATGCTTAGGAAGAGAATGATGATAAAGTTTAGGTGAGTAAACGA